CAACTTTGGTTATTTCCTATTACAATTGTGCTAGGTAATAAAAATAAAATAAATTTTAAAACTACAAATAAGTCGAAATATCCTGCCCTATATCAGGGGTGTCAAACATACGGCCTATGCCCAATACCAGGGGTGCCAAACATACGGCCCGCAGGCCTAAACCAACCCCCCCTTCATGAGTTTTGAATGTGAAAAAAATGTCATGAAACGCTTCATGTCAGAGGTTTTTGTCGAATGGCGTTTCATTAAATATGGATATTTTCTAATAAACTTGTATTAATTTATGAAAACAAAGGGGGGTAAAAATGAACTTATTGACTGAACTGGTCCACTTGACATCTAATCAGACTGAACCTAAAAGAGTTTGCCAGCCCTGCTCTATTTTATTAAAGTTACATTTGCAGAATTAGTGCAGATTGTCTGAAAAAGACTGACGGGGAAAACAGTTCTTAGGAGAAATCTAAATCCTGGTGCCAGTTTTGAACTAGGCCGTTCAGTTTGTGAGAGTATCGCTTTCTTATTTTCGGATTTGTGGTGAAATTAAACACCGAAACCTGCAGAACGGGACAGATGAATGCCAGATGTGACGTCACTGATTTATGGTTTCAGTCAAGTTTCAGGTCATCAGCTTCCAGGCAACAATCAGTTACTGAAACAAGAGTCAGAATCAGCCTGTCAATGAGTGAAACTGGAATCTTATCTGCTGCTCGCAGACCAACACGTTGACGTTTTCAACGTCTGAAAAAAAAAAGAAAAAAATTAAAGAAATCTTTTATTCAAATGACACGGTGTTTATCAAAACAAACAGCCAATAGCGTCGCCACTGTAGCTTCACGACAATTAATCAGAGTCTTTGCGTTTGGAAAACGAGATGCTACATATTCATCACTGCAGCTGAGAGAGAACGCTTCGCTGATAAAAAATGAAATAAATAAATGGGGAAAAAAAAAAGAAAAGAAAAAAGAGCTTCACCTTGGGAAATCCGAGGCAGTCGCTCACAACAAGCGGCATTAATGACGAGAAAAAGCCATTACCTGCTGACTGCGTCTGATTTTTATCACGAGACGACGCGCACGTGCACCAGCGCGGGACGTGCACACTCACGCGCGGATATGAATGAATTTGCGTAAGCGTAAGATGTCTGCGTGCGACTGCGCCGCGCGGCTCAACTATTATTAATTAAAATTTTTTAAAAAAATTATTAAAATTACGTATTTAAAATGCAACTGCGGTAATTTGACTTTTTATGCTAAAATTAATTTTTAAAATTTTTTTCATTTTTAAAAAATATGATTTGAATTGTTGTTGGACGAATAGCAACAATAATAACAATAACAATAATAACTGTATCACTACTACTATTACTACTGCTACTAATAGGAATTATCATTATAACTGATAACTTCTGTGGTGCCCAGTTGACCTCTGACCTCTCTGACCCTGTGTTCGACCTGTGTTATAGCTGTCAGATCAGTAAAATCCTTGTCCTCTTGCTAGAGGTGACAGGGAAGGTGTTGATAGCAGACTGGGTGAAATTATAAAAAGCTTCTTCTAAAACACACATACACAAACACAAACACAAACACAAACACACACAGAGCAGTATTTCAGCCGCTCATCCGTCAAGGCCTTTTGTTATCTTCAGAACCACAAACAGGACCGGGATTAGAACAGAATCTGCAGTTGTGCGTGTTTACTCGGCTGATGGAGTCAGAGCTCAGAGGTTTCTTTTTCTTATTGTGGTTTTAAAATCTTTCTGCTTCAACTACTAGGTCAGACGGAGGTGGAGCTGAGCAGGAGGCCGGCCTGACGAACGTCAACACGACAGGTGAGTATTTGATCGTAATAATCTTCTACGCACCAAGGCCTTTACGCTACATCTATGAGCAAACGTACTGTTCTTATGCCGCATATGCGTCCGAGTGTTGAGATACGACGGAAGATTTGAGATACGGTTGCGGACGCCGACGCTAGGTGGTTCGCTTCGCGTGTTCGTCGACCTCCGTACGCATCTCTCGCGAGTCTTCCGTATTGTGTCTGCGTTACCTACGTGATTTTCTCTCTCTATTTTGTGCATTATTCTTCAGAATAGTGATGAGTCCTAAGAGAGTCAGTGGTAAGGATGGTAGTGAGAAGAAGAAACGCACGATGACCATGGAAATAAAGCAGGAAATTGTCGATAAATGTGAGCGTGGTGCCCGCTAAAGATAGAATACAAATTTTTAAAAAAATAAAAAAAAAAGAAAAATAAAAAAAAACGTAAGTTAAGTTAATTCTAAGTTTATGTAAGTTACGTAGTGTACCTGTAACGTACGGTACGGAATCAAGTGTATACGAACTCCCTCCCTCCTCCTCCGCACATGCCGCCATTAGCCGCTACTGTATCGTCTGTGTCGAAAGTAATCATCACTCATAATTAAAACCACTTTTTTTTTTTATATTACAGGAATCCTTATATACTATGATTTTTTTTGTGTGTGTCTACAGTATGTTTTTATAGCAAATCAAAACATGTTTTTTTTTTCATTGTTATCACCACTAACAAAGGAGCTTTTTGGAGGGTTGGAACGGATTAACTTTTTTTTCCCTGTTATTTCTTATGGGAAAAAAATGATTCGGGATACGAGCACCTCGAGTTACGAACTCGGTCCTGGAACGGATTATGCTCGTATCTCGAGGTTCCGCTGTAGACTTTTTTATAGTTTCTATAGTCTCCGCTCACTGACTTTTTGAACCAAAAATAATAATCTACAGTAACACGCGGTATAATTCAGCTCCTGCCCTTTGCGTCAAATAGTGAAAGATTTGTGTGCAGCGACAGAGGCAGAACCCATTGTAGTTGCTCTGTGTGACATTTTTTAAACAGAAATTTATATTTTTAAACCAGTGACTCTGCTTAAAGTTCTCTTTTTTTTATCATCCAACACCAAGGTGTCGTTTCACCTACACAGGGAAATCCTGTCTTCCTCAGAAGTGCGACGTGATGTCACAGGGACGTGTCCATCAGCTCTTTTCTACAAAGGCATTTTTTTTTAGCGACGACGCGTGTTGCCCCGTCCAAGTCTATATCACGTGATATTGTCTTTTACATTGGTCGGACATGACAGCTCTCATATCCTCCTATTCTGCCTGTCAAAACAGCTGACACTGGCACAGCGATGATATCAAACAATAAGAATACTGTAATATCGTTTTTTTTTTTTTTTTTTTTCTTTTCCCCCCCATCCTTACGTAGTCGCTGACAGCAGGATGATTCCGGACATCACGGGCGAAACGTTGACCTGCGACCTCCGTGTCGGGTGAGTCTACGTTTGACATCTCTGCGTCTAAAGCGAACACAGCGACAAAGCAGATTTTTTAAAATGATGCCTGGTTGGTTCTACAGCAGGTTCATTCAGCTCGAGATGATGGGGGTCAGAGTTTCTCACCACTCAGAGGAGAAGGATGAATCCAATGGATCGGCATGTTTTGGCAGATCTCCCAGATCTTTGAATCCTGAAGGAAGTCCAGGTTAACCACAGGTTCCTCTGCGGGAACCCACACCTGAGAGTCCTCCACCTTGAGGTCATCTGTCTCATCTGTCTTCTGCTGGGAGAAAGTAAGAACACCCACACATCACACATCACACACACACGCGTAGTTGCTCAGCTGCTCAAATTCGGACACACACACACGTAGTTGCTCAGCTGCTCAAATTCGGACAGAACTGAGAAAAAAAAAAAGACTTTGAACTTGACGGATCTGATTATTCTCAAACAAAAACAAACAAAAAAAAAACCCATTGTGAAATCTCTAAAATTATTAATTTATCATTGAAATATTTATCTCTCAAATTATTAATTTATCATTGAAATATTTCTATTCGTTTTGGTTTCGTATGTGTTGTGCACTAACATCGTGTCTAACATTTTGCAAAAAAAAAAAAAAAATCTCAATGCCACTTGCCTAGTAAAATGAAGGTTAAATAAAAATGATAAAATATTTAAAAAATATTTTTCGTTAAATTAAGAAAAAAAACAAAAAAACAACCCGCATTGTGAACAAATAAAAAAAAATCTAGCAGTGTCTGAATTCAGCTGCAGTGATGGGTTGAATAGGAGGCGGGGGTCGAGGCGGAGTGGAATTGTGAACAAGGGTGGAAGGAGTGACCGAGTATTAATGAGTCCCAGTCCTTCCACAGCCTTAGGATTCTACAGCCAGTTGAACTAATGTGCAATTAAGCCGAGGACTGGGAGAAAACCAGCCTGCGGAGCATTTGTCATGTCAAACGTTTTCTGTTCAGGGTTTGATAATTAACCAGAGAGCGGAGTACCAGTGTGTGTGTGTGTTTACATTTCCATGAAGAAAATAAATATGTGCTCTGTTAGAGGAGCGTGGCGGAAAAAAAAAAAAACAACCCCTTCATACATCTCTATTAGAGACGCAATGACATGTAGTCGCTATCATTAAGCAATAATAGTTTACTTTACAGCTCATAGAGTTCAGTCTGAACAAATTAGGCTCAGATACGTAGATGGAGTGGTGGAGGTGATGGAGGAGCGGGGGGACGGGGGGAGGGACACGGGGGGGACGGAGGAGGCATCTTTATTGTCTCTGTCACATTAAAGCCGACTGCAGTCGCACCGGCTGCGACGAGGGGGCACTTTTAAAGTCGTTTAAAAGTCAAAACATCACTGTCTGTGAATCTCAATGATGAGGCACAGAAGTAGCGCGGCCCCAGGCTGGAGATGGTTGGTGAGAGAGAGAGCGAGAGAGAGAGAGACATCAGTGTCCAAACAAACAGATAAATGATCCACACAATGTATCAAACTTGGTTTGTTTGGCGTCAACGTCAACGTAACCTAATAACAGCAATCCAGCCTATCGCCACTAGGCTTGTGACGCTAACACATTTTGCTGGACGATACATGGTCCCACAAATGATTGCTGATAAAATAATAAACTAAAATATTTTTAAAAGTTTTCCGAGTTACGAGTAAGATACCTTTGCGCGATTTTCTTCGGGATGGTGCTTAACCGAGCTCCAATTTTTGCGCTAATTGTCCCTCGCTTGGTTATTTTAGCCATTTTTATAACAATAATATAAAATGTTTTTTTTAATTATTATTATTTTATATTATCAATATATTTGTTTATATCGATGTTTTAGATGTTTAGACAGCCGGGATTTTAATTTAATTAATTAATATAATATATAAATATATATATTTATATACGAGTGCAGATGTGGAACAGATTAAACTCGTATCTTGAAGCCTCACTGTACTGCAGTTTATAGAAAGTATTTTCCCCAACTCAAACTAAAATTTCATTGGTTGACTACAAAATTGTTCTACAAAGTTTTAGGACTTTTTTTTTCTTTGTTAATTTACCCCAATTTCTGCTCCTTTTAGAAGAAAAAAAAAAATATATATATATGAAGGAGAAGAATAAGCTCCTCGTGCCAGGAGGTGCCTGAACTGTTAAATCTACAGTGCTAAGTTTGAGCAAAGCAGCGTTCGGTTGAGCTTCTGAATCTCTTCCCCTCACTTTTTAAGAAGTGTCTGGTGGACTAATGACGACTCAAAGGATTTAAGCAGCAGGATGATGGTGGGCCGCGTCAGAACACGATGCTCGGGATGTTGAACCGACCACTCGGGTTGTTGCGGAAATTAAAATCAAAGTAGGAGCACACAAACACTTCTCTCTAATTGGACGTCTTCCCGCTGAAGCTCGGCGAGTCTTCCCTGGGAAGTAAATGGAGGTCAAGAGTGGGGTTCACACTTGAAAAACGACTCCAATAAGTTTAAAGAAAGACAAAGAGCCTAAGGGAGAGTGGGGAAAGGTCAGGATTTTAACACTGAGCAGGGGGTTCTAAATGCCATTCGACAGGCACGAAGACAACATGATTACGCTGCTCCAGCCTCCTCTCCATCCACACAAATGAAAAAAAAAAAAAAAAATATCAGGACACAAACAGATTTTTTTAATCACACACTGGACCAAACAAATATTTTTAATCACCTCCTGGACCTGGGGAACGATTGTAATTTGTTTTGTGTGGCCTGTGTGGATTGTATGTATATTTTAAAGCTACAGTGCAGCAGTTAATTATCCTGTAGTTAATGAATTTAGCCTCTGCTGCCACTTTGTCCCACAGGAGGAAACTCGGTCTACAGCAACACATTGTTTACACGGCAGCTGTGGTTTTTCCTCCCTCAGCCCTGGAGCTTTTAAATATTACACCCAACAACACAGAGGAGGGGGCCGGATTTGTTATGGAGTCTAACAGGTGGTGGAGTGGAGGTAAGAGCCAGAACAAGTACGCCGATGTTTGTCAAAGGGCACTGAGGTAAAAAAAAAACAAAAATATATATACATATATATACATAT